TACAATAATATATTACAAATACAGTGTTTTCTATGTAGAATTTTTCCTGCCATAGCTTTTTATTTTTCCACAAATTGGTTATTATTTCATTTTCTCATTTTTTAGTTTTTTTCTATAATTTTTGCTGATTTTTCCCAGGAAGGCAGTTGAACACATCAAACACTCCATAGATTCTGTTTCTTCCTGGAAACCTCCTTCTTGGTCCCTACCCTCTTTCCATTTAATCATGTTTGGGAATTGTCTGGGCCTGCTATCAATTATCTCTGGAATCCTATGACTTTCTTTCTTGGTTTATCCCTTTTCTTTGCTGAAACAAATACTCTAGTAGCTTCCTAAAAAATGATACATGGGAAGTAAACTTTTTGAGGCCTTGAATATCTAAAAATGTCTTTGACTATTTAGTTGGGTACTGAACACTAGCTTGAAAATGGGTTTCATCTTAGAATTTTGAAGGCATTGCTTCATTTTTTTCTAATTTATTTTATTTCTGTTGAGAAATGTAGTGTAGTTCTAATTTCCTAACTTTTGAAAGTAACTTTAAGAAGTGTTTGCAAGATGTGTCTTTGTGTTGGTCTTCTGATGTTTTCTCTGTGATGGCCTCTGATATATCCTTTCAGTCTGGAGATCTGTGTCCTTCAGTTCTTGAACATTTCTTTGCGTTATTATAGAGGACACTCTTAGCTGTCTTGGTCAATAGACATTCTTCCCATATTCCTTGCTAACAGAAATCTGATTTTATTTGGACAGCAATGTGCCCAGTCCCAGAGTACAGATGCATAATGAATATTAAAGCCAATCATGGTAATTCCAATCCCATTTGCCAGATACTTGTTTTTCCAGTTTAACTTTGTAACTGATGGTGACCATGTAATGATTTTCTGGTTAATGAAATAAAAGAAGTCTGCTGGAGGGAAGGGTAGTTTCAGGGGATGTTCTTATTTTCTGACATGTGTCAGATACATGGGAAGAGCTCATTGTGCTGTCTCTTTTTCCCTGCTTTGGATGTGACTGTGAAAGGACATAGTGTCACTTTAAAATTGTGATAGCCATCTTGTAGAGGGGACAAACCTAAGGACAAAATACTGAGAAATGGCAGAGTTGATAATGTCAAGGCCCCAAATTTGGAACAGTCCACCTCCAGACCTTATATCATATGAGATAATTAAACACTTTTGTTACTTTTGCCATTTTTGCTTAGGTATTTTGTCAATTGCAGCCAAATGATTTCTAACTGAAGCATAGTTCATTGATACATTTTTCCTCTTCATTTTCTCTGTTCTCTTTTTGGAAATTCTATTAGTTGGAGCTTTTTAAGCTTTCAACCGTTTAGTTTTCAACATTCTACTGAATTGTTTATTTCAGCTATCTGATTTTTAATTTCCAAGACCTCTTTGACAGTTCTTAAAAAATACATCTTGTCCTGTTTTCATGGACATAATATTCTCTTTTAAATCTGAAACTGTTAATTATTGTTTTGAAAAGTTTTCTTCTGTTACCTGCATTGTCTCTATTTCTTCTGAGTAACTGTTTTCTGTTTGTTGTTTTTCAGGTTGGGGGCTTTCTTCAATTATTGAGTGGTATAAGGTTGTCTTTTTATATTTGCAAAAGTTCCTGGAAAGTGGATTGGAAACTTTATGTATGTGAGTGGGCTTCCTTGTGGGGTGTTTTGTTTTTTTTTCAAGACTCCAAAAGAGCAGTATCTGTAGATATTTCCTTTTAGGATTTTAATTTCTCCAAAGAAGAATCCTCAAAGGAGTATATAGATGCCTGCAAGCATTCTAGGAGCAGGGGTAGGGGTGGCAAAAGTGATTATGGGTCCCACAATTCACTTCTAGACTTTTGCTTAATCCTTTTCAGTGATGTGCTGGTAAATATTAGCAACTAACTCTCTGAAAGAAAAAAAAAAAGGCCTGATTTGTAGAAACCCATTATGTGTGGTGTAAGTGGTCCCACCATGTCCAATTTCAGGCTACTAACATGATGTAAAATGCATAGTTGGGAAGACAGTTGCATTAGCTCATCATTATACAGTATTTCTACCATGTAGGTACAGTAGATATAAATAATCTGAAGAGCATAAATAGTAAAATGCAGTAAAAATAATTAGGAAGTTATGGCCTTTGAGAATATATTATGTCTACTTTTGATACAATTTATTTAGTTGTAAACTTATAGAATTTAATTTTTTTAAAATAGCTATTTTAGTAACTGGCTTAAAAACTCCTGAAAATTTAACAGTTCTCATGAGCTGGTACAAGCTAACTCTGGAGCATCGCTGCTGTTTCCGTTCCTAGCCCATCGCCCTTCATTGTATCTGCTCTTTCTGACTCTGGAGTCTCTATTGATTTTCTTCTGACAAAATAGTACTGGAATTCTGCAAGGGGGTGATGAGGATAAAGAGAGTTGGTCTAATTGCATGATTGTGAGTGAGTAAACCTAGGGATTTTCAGCTTGTTATACAGGCTTTCAACAAATCTCTGTATTTTTAGCTCCATACCTAACTGTCGCCTTCCGTGGTACCTGATGCCACAAAGTCTTCAGCTCTCTTTGGCTCTGCCGGTACAATGAGCTTCTCTGTAGGCATTTAAGAGCAGTCCTCTGTCCTCCTGGGCCCACTGCTGCTGTTCCATCTGCTTCCTACCTTCTATGATATTGACATCATTTGTTGGTTATTCTCTTCTCTCCCATTTTCTTTTTCCTTGTGGGTTTATAACTTTTTTTTTAACATTTTTTATTGATTTATAATCATTTTACAATGTTGTGTCAAATTCCAGTGTTCAGCACAATTTTTCAGTCATTCATGGACATATACACACTCATTGTCACATTTTTTTCTCTGTGATTTATGGTTTATAACTTTTATATTTTCTTTTCCCATTTTAGTGAGAGCAGATAAATAAGTGTGTTCAGCTAGATTTGTTTAACTGGAGATAGAGCTAAATAAGTATTGCATTTAAAAATTGTGAAGTTGACTTAAGATTCCTGGATGCTTGTAGTAGCAACCAAACTCTGTCGATTAGCAGGAACTTATCACTAACTACTGATTTATTTGTAAATCAGTGTAGTATTGTGTTTTAGGTTCTTAGATATCTATTTTGATTTTTCCTCTACATGCTTTTTAAAAATAAACTTTTAGAATAATTTTAGATTACAGAAAAGTTGTTAAGATTGTACAGAAGGTTTTCATATACCCCACATTCACTTTTCCTTATTATAAATATCTTACCTTAATGTGTTAACATTTGTCACAGTTAATGAACCAGTATTGATACATCATTATTAGTTAAAGTTCATACTCTATTCAGGTCTCAAGTTTTTTTTAACCTACTGTCCTTTCCCTGTTCCAGGATCCTAATTAGGTTACCACATTACATTTAATCAACATGTGTCATTAGAGTTTTCTTGGGTGTGATAGTTTCTCACACTTTCCTTGCTTTTAATGACCTTGACAATTTCGAGGAGTACTGATTGGGTATTTTATAGAATGTCCCTCAACTGGGATTTCTGATGTTTTGCTCATGACTAGGACTGGGGTCATGGCTTTTGGGGAGGAAGATCACAGAGGTAAAGTGCCATTTTCATTGCATCATATCAAGGGTCCTGTAATATTGCAATGTCATTCTGCATCTAACCACCTGGAGTTAGTACAGACTCCAGATTAAGGGCACAGTCCCCAACAAGACTGCCCATGCTTCAGATGCCAGTTGCAAGTTTGGGGTTTCCCTGGCCACCTACACTTCTGACCAAATGGCTACAAACTCACGGGTTCCCACAAGCCCCTCAGGTTTGATAGTTTACTACAGGAACTCACACAACTCAGGCAAGAATTGTACTTATCATTACAGCTTTATTATAAAGGATATAATTCAGGACTGGCCAAGTGAAAAGGCACATAGGGGGAAAAGACACGGAGCTTCCCTGTTCTCTCCCCATGGAATTAGGGTGCATCATCCTTCTGGTACCTCATGTGCTCACCAACCAGGAAGCTCCTCTGAGCTTTTATATTGGGACATGATTGAATCACTGACCATGTGATTGAACTCAATTTCTAGTATACCTCCCCTCCATGGATGGGGTCAGGCTGGCTCAAAGCCCCAACCCTCTAATCACATGGTTGGTCTCTCTGGCAGGGCCAGCTTCCATCCTAAATTCTCTTATTAGCATAAACTCAGGTAAGGTCCAAGGGACTCATGAATGACAAAGACACTCCTACCACATAGGAAATTCCAAGGATTTAGTCTCCCTCCCAGGAACCAGGGATAAAGTCCAGTTAAATTCTTTATTAAATAACAGGTGCCTACTGTCAGCATGACCTCACTGTTGGTGCTGACCTTGAGCATGTGGCTGAGGTAGTGTTTGTCTCTTCTCTACTAAGGTTTCTTTCCCTCTACCCTTTTCATACTGTACTCTTTTATTGGAGAATGACATTACTTACATTCTTTTGAATCATTTTTGTTTTCTCCTGACTCCTTGTTTTAACTTTATTTTTGGAAATCCTATTACTAGTCAGTGCTCATTCCCATTTTGACTTGGGTGGGATTACCAAAATCTAGAAACTCTAAATCAGAACCTGCCTATACTCTTGCACAGAAGATAAAAACACAGAAGATAAAAATAGAGCTTTAAGTAAAAATTGCAGTTGCAAAGACCGCAAGTGTTTCTTTTTTGATAACACTCAGAATACTTGAAGGGATAGAATTATCTCATGTGAGATAGAGAAGTGCAGCTCAGGGAACTGTAGGAAGCTTTAGAAAAGAGCAAGAGAAACTATGATTTTGACATCATATTTTCATCTCAATTTTTATTTTGGAAATTTAACACTGGAATTCTGTCTTTCAAAGGCCTGGGATATCTTTTTTTCTTACCAGCATTTAATATAAAAAATTCAAACATATAGCGAAGTTGGAAGAATTTTACAGTGAAATAATTTTACAGTGAAATCTATTCATACCACCTAGATTTACTATTAACTTTTTTAAAAAAGTCTTTATTTTTCTTAATGGAGACACTGGGGATTGAACCCAGGACTTCATGCACATCAAGCATGTGCACTACCACTGAGCTATACCCCTCACCCTACTGTTAACTTTTTACTGTTCTTGTTCTATCATATATTCATCTGTTTATCCCTTTAGCCATCTATTAACCCATCTTATTTTCTGATGCATTTGAAAGTTAATTGCAGGTATCAGTATACTTCTCCCCAAATACTCCACTCAGTCTGTGTATCAATAACTAGAGTTCAATACCATTTTTAAAATGTGAAATTTACATGTGATGAAATGTGCAAATCTTAAGTGTATATTCACTGAGTATTACCAATAGGCATGGGTAGCCCAAACCAAATTTTAGGAAAAGTGAAGCTACACAACTTTGTTCTCTTCAATTTTTATTTTAATTCACTATGAGCTTAGAATATAAATCTACAGATTGTTTACTTTAATTTCTTCATGTTGCAAATGAAGAAATAGGGTTAAGTGATTTGTTCAAGATCACATAGCTAGTTAGTAGCAGAGTCCTGACAATATTCCAGGCTTTCCAACCTCTCTACTCCACTGATATTTCCACAATGCCTTGCTGTCATAGTAGCTAACCAGTGAGTAACTCCTGAGCCCCTACAGTGTGCCTAGCACTGGGCTATGTATAGATGATATAAATTATCATTATGATTTAGCTGTGCTCCTCAAATACCATAGAGTCCTGTGTAAGAGACGACACAATTAGAAAACAGTAAAAAGCAATATGTAATTATGTTCCAAGTTAGGTAGAATTTAGAATACAGTGCTATGAATACATATAGGAGTAATATTGCACCTCATTTTGAATAAACCTGGGTATGTTATGGCAATATTGAACTATAATTGAAAGCAGGTTGTACAAGAGAGACCTGAAACAGGCTAGCTTTGTTAAATGTAGAAAATGAATACAATCAAACTGCACCTTAAATTCATGCTCTGTTAAATCAAATTTTAACAACTGTTAAAGAAGGTGAAGATTGATATTTGATGAAATTATCAGAGAAGGCTTTATGGACAAAATAGGGTTTGAGACATAATTTCAAGAATTGATGGAATTACAAATGGTGAAGGGGATTATAAACTATTATAATTGGGATACAAACAATATTTTAATGAAAATTTAAGTCCATTATAAATTAAAATGTAATTTCAATGCAGTTCAAGAGAGGGCCATTAAATATGTTTATGGGCTTCTGAAATAAATTACTTTTAACTAAAGCTAATAAAGTCTAAATTTACATAAGAAGATTCAAGTTGGAAAATGCCTACTGAATTAAGTAGGAATTCAGATTTCCTCCTGCAGAGGTGGTGCTCTTTTGCCCAAGTGCTTCTTCAAAGGATACCTGGTTCAAAAATAATGTTGTTTTTTCAACAGTATTCCTTAAAGGTAATGAGAGACCTGTATTTCCATTTTGCTTTCAACGATTTGCCCTAAAACAAATTTAACTTCTCTGACTCTGCATTTCCTCATTTCAAAATGGAATTAATAATAACTTTACTGTTAACCTCATGGAAGTTATGAAACTTGAACAGGATAATGTGTGTGAAAATGCTTTGGAATCTTTCAGATAGAAGATTCAGTAACTAATAACAATTGTACAGATTATGGTCTAATGGAGATTCTATGAAGATATTTTTAGGGATCAATACTATAGGATTCTTTACAGCATTGATTTGAGTTGTCTCCGAAGATTCTAATTAGCACTACATATTATATTTTTTCTGGGGTATAGATAACTATATATGTATGCAGTAGGATTACTGGGATGTTTCATATGTACTGAATCATCTCTCATCAACTGGGCTGATTTATATCTATGCAGGTTCTCGGTTGTATTACTTTTCGTTTATACGTTATATCAAAAAATTGCTTTCTTCCTACTTGTATCCAGATTAATTATATTACTGAAAAATGATGATGAGCTGCTAATGCAGACAGAATGGTGCTGCAACTCTAGTTTCTCAGATAATGGAAGACTATCACTGAGAGAACAGAATTGTAGAACAGTAACACTGTATAATTTTTCTTTCACTGAGAAGTGAGTTCAGTTGTTACTAAGAAAAGCAGAACTTGGTTGGTCAGGCACAGAGTCTTCAGTTCATTGCCTCCATGTCCCTATTCTTTAGCATCTAATATTATAATATTATTTTATGGGGTTTGATAATTAATATTATAAAAATTAATAAATTATTAGTATTTAAATAATAACATCTAACTCTCAACAAAGGTTCAAAATATACAAAGGATTTAATTTCTTAACAAAATATGCATAGTTTTCATATGGCAAAATAGAATTGCCCTTTTATGTCAGTTATATTTCAATTAAAACAAAAAAAAAGAATTGCCTGTAAGAAACTATACCTTGACTGTATTCTTATTGAAACCTGGGTTACTGAGTAGTAGTATGCTGCACAACCAATTACCATGACCTTAGTGGCTTAAAACAACACATTTATTACATTATCTCACGGTTTCAGTGGGTCAGAATTCTGGGCACAATGTAACTGAGTCCTTTGTTTTGTGATCTCTCACAAGGCTGCAATCAAGGAGTCAGCCAGGGATTGAGTCTTATTTGAAAGCTCAGCTGGGAAGGATCTTATGTGGTTCTTGGCAGAATTCAGTTCCTTGCAGGCTGTTGGACTGAGAACCTCAGTTCTTTGCCGGCTGTCAGCCATTCCTTGCCACATGGCCTTCTGCATAGACAATTCACAACATGGCAGCTTGCTTCATCAAATCTAGCCAGGAGGTCTCCTAGAAAGACAGAAGTTACACTCTTAAGTAATGTATTCACAGAAGTGACATCCTATCACCTTTGTTGTATTCTATTGGTTAGAACAGTTTCACGTCTTGCTCCCACTCAAGGGCAGGGGATTATACAAGGCTGCGAATTCCAAGAGACAAGAATCATTTTGGGCTATCTTAGAGTCTGTTGGAAAAGAACTGATTAATTTGACATGTGAGATAAGCTGTAAAGAGAGATGCCCACTATGAAACTGTATTCAATTAATTTTATAATCCAGAAGGAATCGGTGGGAATGGTATAATAGAATTTTCCAATTAGAAATATAGTATCACAAACAAACAAATGTTAACTACTAAGCACATTATTTTCTCTAACATTCTTACTGCTCTTTCTCCAGTGCTGTCAGCTATGAAATAAGATAGCTTACATCAGACCCTGGGAAAGTGGTAAAGAGCTGCACTTCAGAAGAATATTAGAGAAAACAACAATCCCACATATATATGCATTTTATCAGCAAATGGTATTCATTTTATTGTATTGATAAATGATATCTATTTAAAATGGCATTCTCAACAGCACATGCCAGAATGTTCCCCTACAAAAATAGTTGAGTTAAATAAAATAGTAATTATTGGACAGGACATGATTAGAAAAATCACAAAAGAGAATCAATCTGGCATTAATGTAATAAGATTGTTGACTTCGGTAATTGACAAAACTTCATCAGGTAATTAAAAGAGCTCTTTGTATTCCTAGCAAGTCAAAACACCAGCTATTAAACAATTTAGAACAATTATGCACCAGATGAACATTTTTCGTGTAAAAACATTTTAATCCGTTTTGAAGACTAGTAAAGACAGGAAAAGCCTAAAATGGGAGAGATTTAATCATCACTTCAATAGTGTTTGGATTGCTGAGTTATGGTTAGCGGACGCCCTTAATAGGATTGAGAATAAATTCATTAGAACTAATGGGTGGTCAGGAAAAGCCTATTTTTATTTTTAAGCTGTAGAGGATGCCATGGAAAATGGACTCAAATACTGCCTGTGAGTTTTGTTGTTATGGACTGGAACACTTCATGCAGCTTAAGAGTTGTATGGAAGGTTGAAGACAAAGGTAACTTCACGCTTTTAAGTTTGCCAGTCTATCTTAGAGCAAATTGATATTATAACGCCTTGTATTGGTATTTCTGCCATATCATTGTAAATTAGAGTATAGATGTATTTTGAGAGATTATAGTGATTTGGGAAGAGTTCTTCACTTATATACATGGATAGAATAAATTTTGTGCCTGCAATATTTATGATATATCATGTATAACATCTATAGTTAATAGTATGTATAGTTAATAAATCCTGAGTAGAAAAGGTTAATAAATGAATTGACAAGCTTGCTATCACAATGCCAAGTAGACTAAGATATGTAAGCCACATGATTATAGAGGCTATTCTCACATTGTGGTAGCAGCTTAAAACAGACAAAATTCTACATTATCTCCTTTTTCCTGAGGAAAATAGAACTTCATATTAGCTAAAGTGTAGGTTTGGTATCTTGATGGGGCTCTGCTTTGTCATTGTCCTTGGGATGTTCTCTAAACTGCACAGGAAAATTCTCTTCTGAATACAGAATGAAGTAAGGGTTTTAGCAAAATCTTGTAGAAACTTATGTCTTCTCATCTCTAGCACAGAAATGAAGTGTTGGAAGGATTTGGCTGAAAAAAAATACAGGTTTGGTATGTGGAGAAAATGAAACAAAAAGCAAAAGCATGGGAGTACTAAGGCCCTTGTGGGTAGCAAGTATTTGCCTGAGGTGACAAGCACTTTTTCAAAATCTGATAATGTGGCTTCTGTTTCAGGATAGGCTCTTCTTTGAAGCTTTAAGCATTAAATAGAGACTATATTCAGTTATAATATGAGCCCTTTACCTTTGTCCAAGGATTCAGTTCAATCTTAGAAACCAGAAATTCAAATGTCAAATCACCCATGATTTATCCAGCTTTGGACATTGGCATTTAGAAACCCATTGTGTCTCATTCTAGAGGGGGGTTTTTAGTCATTTGCAGGCATATTCTCAGCTTATCCAGTCTAAGAATATACAGGTATCCCCATTCTTTATAAAAGTTTGCTTTATGCTGCTCTGCCCTTATGAGAGACCTATATAAGTACCTATTTTCGCTAAGTGAAAAAACTCTATAAAGGATTTTTGCTTTTATGGAAAAAAGGTGAAAAGTGAAAATAGCATTCAGCATTTGTTTTGCAGCAAGTAGCTATAGAGGCAGTGCCCCTCCAACCCCAGCAGCGAGAGTGGTTCCCCAGGCTCCTTCCCTGGGAACTACCCTCAGCATCTCAGTGTCACATTGCCATAGCTTTGAACTGTTTCTGTGAGCATCTGTACTTTCTTTTGATTTATGTTGTGCATTCATTAGTAATATGTGTCCCAAGGTAATTAGTTCTTTGCCTTACACCATTTCAGCTTACAAAAGGTTTCATAGAACATTCTACTTTCAGATAGTGGAGGAAACCTGTCCATACATTTGCTTTGTGTAATTAAAAAAAATAAGAATGAGAAGCTTCTTTGGCAGGACGACTTTATGTGAGCTAAGGGATTGAAAGGCCAACAAAGTCTTTGATATGGGAAAATACACAAACTTTCTAGACCAGGTTTCCTGAGAGACTGGCTCATTGGGAAGCTCTTTGCCTGAGCAGAATTACTCTATATTTTAATGTTAACATTTATATTAGATGTAGATAAAAGCCAGTTTCATGCTTAGTCATGAGCAGAGAGGTCTGCAAATAAATCACACTATGGGGCAAAGTAGGGTCAATTAATGTGGTTGTCATTTAGACAAGTCTCTAGATGGGATGAGGTGTTCATTTCACTGAGCCCTTTGGACAGGATGAAAGATTCAGTTGGGGACAATAACCTCAAACTGAAGAACTAGCCCTAGTTATTGAGCTTTATTTAGAATAGTCAACAGAGACTGGAAACTGTCCACAACACACTATTTTTCCTTAATGAGTTGAACAAAGGAGTGAAACACTTTGGCAGTCCCTGAGGCTCATGGGCAGGGAATAAGGCAGGCTTCTCATTTGTGTGGGTATCTGAACTTTTAGTGAGTCCTTGATTAACCTGAGGAGGATATATACATATATATGTATTTTTTTTTGAGGGAGGGTAATCTAGCAGGTACAAATACTTCTTTTCTAGAAAACAATACAGATATTACCCTATACATAGGGAACATTCAAAAGAATCCTTTGTTTTGATCAGTATTTGTCAATTTCTCTCAGGGTGGTAGAAACTTAATCTTAAGTATAGATTCCACCAGGGTTGCGCCTATGTGGCGTCCAGATGTAGACATCTGGATGGTTGTGAATTTAATCCTCAAGGTCTTTATCTATCCATACCAGCATCCACTGAGATGCCACGTACTTAACCATGCAGATTGTTGTCAAGTCTTACCATTTTCTTGACCTTAAGCCCTCTTTTAAGGATCAGCTTTCTCTCAGACACTCCTGTGGCTCTTTTTAAGGGACAAACGCTATGAGGCTGCCTCAGACTGGTTGCCTCAGTCTGTCTACCTAAACACAACACTCAGCCACTTTTATTCTGTGGTCCTGCCACTGCACTGAGCTCTATCTGGGAATGGGGGCATTGATTTTCTTATTCTCACATCCCCTAAACTGATTTGGGCCTCTGTTGTTTCCCGTCCTCACTGGGGCTGAATCTTGGGTGAACAGGGAAGAGGTAGTCAAAGTGTATGGGGTTCCTTCTTAGGAGTTGTACTAGGCACAGATTATTTTAGCTTCAAATAAAAGAAAGCCTAAACAGCAGTGGTTTTAACAATTAATTATCTCACACAAAAAGAGGTCTGGAGACACAGGCCAGGACTGGCATAGTAGCTTAACTATATCACCAGGAATTCACCTTCCTGCCATACTTCCACTTCATTACTCTCGGCTGTTTTTTAAGTTCTTGGAGAAAGAATATGATAGGTCCAATTTTGGTTGTATATCAATCTTTAGTCCAATTTGTGACCATGGGGATTGGGTCAAATGACTCAGCAGTTCTCAGGAGCTAAGGGAGAATGCTCTTTTGAGAAGGGACCATCGGTTTGTGTGTGTGTGTTTGCGTGTGTGGCAGTGGTTTTTGGAGAAGAAACAATGGCCAGCTCTACTATTCTCTTGATGTCCTAATCTGCTGAAAGGTAAATCAAAATAACAATTCATTCATTCTACAAACATTTGTCTCACTTGTTCCTCCCCTCATGCTCTCTCTCAGAGAGTGTCAGTATCATTCATCTAGTTGCTCACTTCATAAACCTCTATATAACCAATAAGCATCAAGATAGCTAACATTTATTGAATATGTGTACTATGTGATAGGTATTCTGTGCACATTATTTTGAATACTACCTCATAACAACTGTACAAGTAGGTATTATGTATTTTATAGATAAGCAAAGTAAAACTGAGAGATAAGTCAAGCTTTAAACATCTCTTCTGGATTACTGCAGTAACCTCCTGCCTCTCTCTCCTGATCTTGCCCTCTCATCCATTTTCTGTCTGGAAGTCATAGTGGTATTTCTAAAACAGAAATCTGATCATGTTACTCTCCTGCTTAAAACCCTTCTACGGTTAGGATAAAGTCCAAATTCCTTTGCATGATGTATAAAGCTTTTCATGATCCAGGCAACCTTCACTTTACCAGTCTCTTCAGTCTTGCACCTCACATTCTGTCCTCAAGCCACACAGATTATTTGCAGTTTTTAATAGTTCATTTCTTACCTCTGCACAATAAACAACTCTGTAGCCATTCTCCCTGCTGACTCCTACACATTATCCACATCCAGCTTTGATGTTACCCTATCCAGAAGCCTCCCTGATTGAATTCGGTGCCCGCCCCTCCTTTATACTTTTGTATCACTCAGTGCTTTTCTTCTATATTTATCACACCATACTGTAATTGTTTGTTAGCTTATTCTGTCTCTTGCACTAGATTATAAAGTCTTTGAGTAGAAAGATTATGTCTGGTTTAGTGTTAAAAATCCTAAAATTAGGGTAGTGCTTGGTGCATAGTAGTTGCTCTATAAATATTTGTTAAATGAATGAATCTTTGGTAGTAGTCTGGAAGAACTTGCAAAGCTACCTGGAGAAAGATATTCAGCATTTCTTGTTTAGTGAGTGGATCATTCTGACAGCTATTCCCCTTAGCCCTATTCTTTTGGCTTTTATTTTATAAAAATTGAGCAGATACAAATGTAAAAATTGATAAAATTAACTGTGAAAACATATCACAAAATAAAATAAGAAAGTGATATAAAACAGTAAGCTCAGAGTGTCAAACCTAGTGTAAGATAAAGCTGAATGAAGTAATAAGGTTGTGAGATTAGGGGAGAAAAAGCAAGGAATTGAAATTTTCTCAGAGCTTATTACTAAATTGAACATCCTTTGCTAATAATGTCTCATTTAATTCTTTCACTAATTCTTTGAGGTTACTATGTTATGCCTGTACTGAAGCTAAGGAAATAAAAGATCAGATTAGAGTAAAATAAACTGAATGATTATACAACAGACTCTCTACAGATAAGAAGCAAATAAATGAAAATCAATCATAGAAAATATTATGGAGAATATGTGAGGGCAAACCACCCTATATCCTAAATGATCCTTTTGCTGGGCCTGGGTTACTGTATCAACTTTCCATGTTCCTCTCCTAAAGCGATTTCTTTCATTCTCATCTGCTTTGAATGTAGGGATACTTCCTTCCTTTTACCAGGATGAATTCCACCCTCTCCTTCAAGCTTTGTTTCACTTAAGTTGCTTCTTGAATGAATTTTACTTCCTTAGACCTGCTTGCTGATTAAGCTAAACTTTTAACGAGCCCAGCAAAACACCCTGACTTCTCTTTCAGGGAATTGTCAGCAACATAGCAGTAAATGTCAACACAAAGGGGACTACTACCGTAGATTACTCAGGGGGAAAAAAAAAGATAAAATACTTAACAGTGGCAGTGTTTAAGTGACTATATTCTGCGCAGTGAGAACACCTGGAGTCATTTTTAACTTCCACTCTTTCCTACAGAGTCAGTTTTCTAAACTTTCTAAGTCTCAGTTTTCCTACCTATGAAAAGAGGATCCTAGTAAGAGGCTCCTACCTACCTAGTCCAGGACTTCTGTGAGAACTAAATTACATGAGATACATGAAAATGCTTCAGAAACATTTGGTAGAACGCTGTAAAATGTTTGTACCTGACTACAGACGAGCCCAGGACAAGTTGTGTTCCTGGGTTGAAGAAAACTCAAAGGAGGCTGGCCAGTCGCTAGGGAGAGGAAGCCGAGCGTTGCCACGCGACGTCATCACCCTGCGCCAGCCGCGACGGTCCCCGGATTGGGCTCGGAACAGCGTTCCGCGCCATGGGGGCTTTGCGGCGTTTGCTGCTTTTTGGTGGGGTGTCGCTTCGGGGCTGTGGTGGGGCTTGTACCCCACTTGGGGGAAGCCGACTGTTGGTTTGTCGGCGCCAGGTCCGTGGTGCTGCAGGGCAGGGTGGGGCGGGCGGGTCGGAGATGCTGGGGCGGCAGGGCTGCAGGTGCTCTGTAATTGCGCCTTGCCAAGGACTCGCTTATGTCCCTCGTGGGCCCCCGCCCACTTGGCGGCTCAGTGAGACCTCGGTTGTCTGGACATCCCCACTTTCCAGACAGACCCCCAGTAGGACCAGACCGAGGAATAGAGAGACGTGAAACAGATGGTTAGAACAGGGTTGTATGACTTGCACTTGTTTTCTTAGTTTGGTTTTTTAGAAAATAGGTAAAAGAAAGGGAAAACACGTGGAGGATTTCACTCCATAAAGAGGCAGCTTATTTACTTGCGACTTTTTATGCCAGCTTATCCTGGCAGGTAAATTTCAACTTAAACAGTGTGTCTCTGCAATAGTGATCAGTAGCGGTAGGTAACACTAAAGGCCTAACTAGTGGAGGTGAGCAGAATTAGACTAGAAAAGAAAGCCTTCTTAATCACAAATACTGAATTGTTTTTACTTTTACAGCATGATGATGGAGATGGCTTATTTAAAAATTTTTTTTCTTTCTTCCTTAAGTTATCTGGCGCTGAGAGTGAGACTCTAAAACAAAGAAGAACACAAATCATGTCCCGAGGACTTCCAAAGCAGAAACCAATAGAAGGTGTTAAACAAGTTATAGTTGTGGCTTCTGGAAAGGGTGGAGTTGGAAAGTCTACTACAGCAGGTATTATAGGATATTAATTCTGATCTTGATTAGAATCTTAAACTAACTGGCAAGTGCACAATACTAAAATTATAGTTAAAAAAAAAGTATTTGTTAAGTTCCTAATAGTTGGTTCCTCAGTATGAGGAGTTGGTAATGATTAGAAACTTAGATTTTGGAGTTAGACAAAATTAGATACACAGTCAGGTCTTTGACTCCTTTACTGAGGAAGAGGTGGTCAGGTTGTTCATCATATCTTCAGTTTACTTGACTGTGAAATGGCAGTGATGATAATTTTCATAGAGTGGTTATGCAAATTAAACAAGTAACCACTTAGCCCAGTGTCTCCTACATAGAAAGTGCTCAATATTTGGTTGCTTTTATTATTTTTAAAATATTTAAGAAGTTTGATACTATATTTATATCTGCTTTTTGATGTTCTTTTCCAGTCTTTTCTGATGTACATATAGCTAAGTAGTTGCAGATAGCAGTAGCTGCATATAGCTGCAGAGTTGCAGTTGAGATTCTTTACATTATTGTGACCTTTTTCATTTAATCAAAATATATTTTTCAGCATTTATAAAGTCAACATAGATCTAACATCTGAAAATGTTTTAATTATTTAAAATATCACCTAATCTTTATATCTTATATAGTAATGTCCTGGGGCAGAGAATTTTTTTGATGGCTTTTAAAAACTGATTATAAATTTCATTATGACTGAACTGATGCTTTCAGAACCCATAAAAGAAGTGCCACCAGAAATAGAAAAGTTACTATCTAAGACTAATAACCGGATATTCCCAGATTTTTTCAAAAGAAGTTTGTATTTCTAAAAATAAATTTTAGTGTAATAATATAAAAGGGTAACCTCCTTCCTCCCAATTCAACTCAACAGAGGTAACTTGTATTACTAATTTGGAGTCATAAAGCTCTCAAGTATAATTGTTGCCTCATTTTAAATTTTCAATCATTTTTAATAGGAATGGCTACTAATTCAGGTCTTATCCAACCTGTCTTTTGCAATGACTATATAGTGACTATATAGTTTAATTATTATTAAAATGATTAGCTAGTGATTGTTCTTAATGAATTTATTCTGTATCATACACGTTTTTGCTTTCTTTCCCAAGGACCTAAAATCCACCTGTTTGATATTTTGTTTTTAAGATTTGGAAGCTCTTAGTTTTTGGTTCTAGAATCTATCTCTATTTGTGTTTTGAAAATTCAGGGTACATTTACCTGTTTTCGGTAGTGTGAATCCTTTTACATGCTCTATGGTTAAAGATGGAAGGTATTTTCATGATAATAGCTGTAAGGTCTTTGGAGTTTGTGCAGTATAATTGGTTGGGTCTGTAGGCTAGCATTTATTTAAAATGAATTGTTTTGGTTGTGGGATCATCTATTATCATGGAATGTAATAACATTTAAATAGGAAAATATATGAGAAAATGTACAGAGTGTATCACATAGTTTGTGCTTCATTAAAATGCCCCTTCCTTGCTTTTTTTCTTTGTTAACATTATACCATCTGTCCCAAATAATTGGCCTATACTTTTTTCATAACAGCTCTGTCTGCATACATAAGTGTTAGAACTAGGTTATTTCTATGTAATTTAGTTGGTATTATATTTCTTTCCCTTATATTTACTTATTCCTCTTTCAAACTCTCTCAAAATACTTGCCTTTTGAATATGTATATTAGAGATATTTTGGATTAGAATGATGACATTTGATTAATACAAACAGGCTCTGTGATTCTATTGTAAATGTAAAATGTAAAGCCCTAACATTAAAATGAGTTACTCTTTAAAAGTTTCTGCTTAAAAGTTGGATTATGTTATACCTGAAATTCAGAATTATGTTACAATTTATAAAATTTACTTTATTAAGTGCTGTGCCCTAGGGTGAGTACTTTGCATATGGTATTTGATTTAATTCTCATAACAGTTATGAAATTGGAATTATCCTCATTTTATAGAGGAGGAAGCAGGTTTAGAGGTAGAGTATTCTACTGAAGATTACAAAATAGAAAGTGGTGGAACTGGGATTTGAACCAGGTCTGCCTTGAAAGTTTATGCTCTTAGATACTTAAAGGAAACAATCTCAGGTATCATTTATAACATCATTCTGTAAGAAAGCATGGTCCACAGTATAAGGGTCTATTTATCAGTCTTGGGAATGTGTTACTTTTGGGCTTCTCTTTATTTCACATGTAGCATATCCCTATTGCTGGGCTAAAGGTGGCTTTGGGGACTACTGCATTCCCCCTTTATGTCTTTGGGATTCACTAGCAATAGGCACTTTGGGGAACATACTACCTTTTTCCATTCCCTCTGTACAGTGGCTCAGCCTTTCATATACATGAGTATTTGTGAGTTAGATGTTTTGAATTCCTGCGTTACCAGCATTTATTTTTAAAAAGCAGTAGAATCATATCCATTTTTATTTATTAGAAAGTAGATAATTTTTCTGCCAAATATGTTTCTGAAAATAATTGAATGATAAAAACCGTTAACATCATTTTTAAAACACTAAGTGGATTATTTAAACAGCAGTTTTGACAGATGATAAATTGATTACTTAAAATGTTAATTTTGGGTTAGGCATCTATGCTTACGTTGGAATGTTACTTTCTTTTTTGTCTTTTTTTACTTTCTGTATTCTCTCCATGTCTTTGTTTTTTTATAATGGGGATATATTAAAATTTCTGTGCTTTGGTTATTACACTGCAAATATTAAAAGGCAAAGTGAATTTTAGTAAAAGGAAAGTTACTAAATTTAATTACTTTTTTGTTTCTTACAGTGAACCTTGCACTCGCCCTAGCAGCAAATGATTCGGTAGGTGTTTATTATTAGAAATATTAATTTACTAAAATGTTTTTTAAGGCAGTGTTAAAGAGCGTACTGATGTTTTTCATTTAGCCTGTCAGGAGCTATATAGTGTAGCTTAGGCCGCTTGCATGTCTTTAAGGAACTCAAAAATCTGCCATAAGTACTGGTTACATTTAATAGCGACGAAAATGGAAGGGGACCACTGGTCAAGGGATTCAGGCAGCTGTTAGAGGCTAGAAAAGGCAAGGAAATAGATTCTTCCCTAGAGCCTCCAAAAGATGTGTAATCCTGTCAGCACCTTAATTTTAGCTCATTGAAACCCCTTTTGAACTTCTGTGATAAGTTCTTACAATAGAAGTAGGAAACTAGTACAGGAAGTCAGTTTTCTTAGTTCTTAAGTTTCCAAAGATGTCTTTATTTTGCCTTCATATTTGGTCATTTTGACGAGATGTAGAATTCCAGGTTGAAAATAACTTCCTCTCTGAACCTTGAAAATAATATTCAGTTTTCTTCTAGCATGCTAATGAGATGTCTGATACTAGTCTGATTCATACTGCTTTGTTGTAACCTGTGATTTTCCCCTTAAAGCTTTTTGAGTTTTCTGCATGTCTTTCAAGTTTAGAAATGTCACAAATATGTGTCTGGTTGTTGGCTTTAAATTTTTTTACCTTTGGAAATTGGCCAAGTGGTACAAGGCTTGAGTCTTTTTCAGCTTAGGGAAAATTTATTCATTGATTACTTTTTGTGATGTGTTTGTTCTTTCTCTAGAAACCTGTTAGGTGGATATTGACCCTTTATGCGTGTAAATTTTTCTCTCACATTCTCCATCTCTTTGTCTTTTGCTCTGTGTTTTAGAAGATGTCTTAGACTGTTTTCACACTGCTGTATTGGGTTGTAGTTGTTATTTAGCCCTTCTGACTTATTTAAATTCAGAAATTATATTTTTTCCAGTGTTCCAGAACTTTTTCCCTTATTTTCCAATTGCTATCCCTATCCACTTAAAAAAATGGTTGTACCATTTGAGTCTCTCTGAGGATGCTAATTAGAATTGAATAAAACGTATTCCTTTTAATGATCTTTATTTACTTAGCATAATGATTCTTATAATGTGAAAAATCAGCATTGCTTGGGAACTTGTTAAACATACAAAGTCTTGAGCCCCACCCCAGACCTAGTGAATTGGAAACCCTAAAGGTAGAGTCCTATAGTCTGAGTTTTAAGCAGCCTTCTTTGTGCTTCTGATGCATGCTGAAGTTTGAGAGCCATTGATCTGGAGTTTTTTTAAACTCTAAAATGTTAATGGCCCTCTTTTTTGTTTTCTAGTCTGATTATATTTTTAATTTAGTTTTAAACTATTTTTTTCTCATTTCAGTGGGAATTTGGAAGAGGAGAGGTAATCGTGTATGTTTACACAGTCCTACTGAAGCAAAAGCCAGTAATACATTTTAAAAAATAATTTTTATTAGAGCGCTTAGTTACCTTGGAGAAGGGACCCCAATCTTAAAGAAGGGAGGAAACAGAATTCAATGGGTAGGAAGATAAATCAATTCATAGGTGTGAGGATCTTTTAATTTGGTTATTGTTTCAGCCACAACTTTTGAGTCTTAAGGCAATATAAAGTAACCATGTAATAAACAATCAAAGGATGAAAAGAATAGTTAAAAAGAGGTTGATTCCTTCATGTTAGATGTTGCTAGTCTTGATGAGATAGTAGCTCAGAAATTTCTTTTTTTCGTTTTGTTTTTTTTTTTCCTTTCTTTCATGGAGCCAGGAAGAGGGCAGCTTCATCTTTAATGCTTTAGGTGTATGACAGGAAAATTGGCAACAAGAAAGGATAAGAAGTAAGTCTTTCCTAGGGCCACTTTTTCAAAAAGCATTTAGTATCCTTAAGTGTTTTTAAACATGTTTGTAAAATCTTCCTTAGGAAGGTCTTCAGTATTCTGTTATCCTGATGAAGGTGGTTTTTGTTTTTCAGTACTTGATATTTTATAGCAAGGTTAGTGTAAAAATGAAAAAGAAGAAAGCCAGGAAATTTGAGCAGAGTGTTGTAGAACTCAAAGATAATCTGACATAATACAGTATTTTATGATTGGCTACTGTCTTGTCGTCTTTAATTGATTTATACATACTTAAGAAAGATAATTTTATATAGCTTATATGCTTGATTAACAGTATATGATTAGGGAGCAGCATGTTTGTCTTAAACTGCGATCTGCCAGAGAACTGCCCGTGTATAGAAGAGAAGAGATATATCTGTTCTATGTGATTTATATATATCTGGCATAGACTTGTACTCTGTATTTCCCTGCTTAAGGTTTTATTAATATTATACTTATTTAGAGGGCATGTTTGATCTTTAGGGGAAACTCAAAGTTCCTCCAACCCCCTCTTTTTGCCTGAGCTGATACAGATGGCTTAGGTCCAAGGACTCTGACTGGGACGTGGTACTAGAGTATATTGCTTTATGGGCTTAAAAACTCCAGTTAGGATGGTGTCTTTGTAGCCTCTCTAATGATTCTTTCCCATGGAGTCTTAATTCCATGGAGCTCGTATTGTAAGAGGATTCTCTGACCTGCTCCCCCTGAGGCCAGCCACGTTCAAGACCTTGCTAACTCTTTTCTCCTGCCTTTTCCATGAGCTGGTGCTTGCCCTTTTTCGGCATTGGAGTGGGAAGGGTTAATAAGATTAGTTTGTAGGCCTAGAAAACAGGACCAGGAAGTTACTCACTGTACTTTTAATGTTGACCTTAGTAATCTCTAAACTGGGTTATGTAACCCCCAGAGGAGTATGTATGCTAGTCCACTGGGATGTGGAAGGAAAAATTTTCTTTTTCATTTGTATTAATTTTTATCTTTTGAAATTTATGGTTTTTTTGTTATGCTTTATAATTTATACTAAATTAGTATAGTGGCTTTAATAAAATTATAAACAAATATATTAACATATATTGAGGATGTGTGCTTAAACATTTTTTACTGATTGGGGTGCACAGTCAGAATAGTTTGGATATCACTGGCCTAGGCAGAAAGAATTTCTGGGCTGAATCATATGCCAGTTCAAAAGAAGACAACTTTGTAGATGGAGGTAAAGTCCTTATGGGAATAGGATGTGAATTTTCCCTGCCTTTTCCTAGCCTTTTGTACTTTCCTTTGGGGATGTAGAAGGTGGTACTGCAGAGCAGAATTTGGGATGATGTCACGTATCATGCATCTAAATGTTATATCTTGTGGTATTTTGGAACTGGCTCATGTTTGTTTGTGAGAGCCAATTGTTAAATTTTCAGGAATTTTGCAAAGCAGTTGATACCATGTTGTTAGCTTGAAATAGGCCATAGTGGGAGTTATTTACCATGGAAATTGGCAAATACTGAAAATCAGACTCCCCACCTCACCTTGAGCCAGTTGTTAAACATTTACTGACACACCACTGATCATATATATTGACAATCATATAGCTGAGTTTTTCTTTTTTTCATCTTCTTAACCACCTTTATTGTGGATTTCATTCTTCTACAGTATAAATTTAATAAACAGTGAGAAGGGTACTGAAACTGGAAAGGGAAAGGGAAAGGTCACCAGGTACCATGATAAGCTCTGTGAGATTCCTAAGTCAATTTACTTCAGTTCTTTTTAGTTCAGCAGACATTTACTGAGCACCTCTAACACTCATTGCCAGACACCCTGGGAAGATAGAGAAAAGTAAACAAGCCTTTAGTAATGCTTTGTGTATGTATATATAATTATATAAGTGTATATATCTCTGTGTATATTTGTGTGTGTGTGTGTGTTTTGGTGGTGTGCAGCTGAATTAGGTTCAGTAATAGTTTCTTCTGTGAGTGAGAACATGTAAATTAAAGCCACACTTAATAAGGTTTTATTGTGCTTTATAACAGAGTAGACACACTGTGTACTCCTAAAGATTTCATAATCTAGTGAAGGCAAGAGGAAGATAAATATCTTAAAACGATGAGCTATAGTCAAGATCAAATATAGAGAGATTCTGTCCAAGATGACTAGCTTTTATTTCAGAGAAAAGAAGTCTTTTTTCATAGAGCACTTCTGTGAACATAATTATATTTGCTTCTCACAGAAACTTGTAATGCAGTGCACTTAGTATTTACCAGTTTTACAGTCTTTATTGATTCTGCTGTATCCTTGCCACATTTCATCAGCCAGCAAATATCCTTTTTTTTTGTCCCTGCAATATTTTTCCAATATGTATCTTTTATTTTTACTATTCCCACTCTAATTAAAGCTCACATTACTTCTTTTTGGCTCATTTTTTCCTTTATACCTCAAACAGTTATTGAGTGCTTACTTCATCCCAAACACTTTGCTACTTTGGAGGCTACAAAAGTGAATGAGACACACAGCCCCTGCCTTTGAGGGACTCACAGACTAGCAGACCACTGCAGTGACCTCTTACCTGCCCGAGCTCAAATCCATTTGGTACATTATGCCAGCTTACTCTTACTTAAGCACCATTGGAACCTCATTATTGCCATGCTCAGAGTTGCTACTGAATGCCTTTGCTGGGACTCAAGATCCTCTGTGATCTGGCCCCTTTCAGGGTTTATCCTCAGCTCTTCCTGTAAATGATCCCTGTGCCCTGCACAGTCTGGGTTACTTGCTGTTGTCAGTTTGGGCTTAGATATACTATGTTCTTGATAGCTTACAGCCTTTCTTCTCCATTTCTCCTGGAGTGTTCTCTACTCTTTCTTTAGCTTTATCTGTCCTATCCTCTAGGCTGCCAGGTATGGCCATGCTGGTTATATCCTGTCCAAGGTGCTTGTCAAGGAGGTTGAGTGATGACAGAAATCCAGGCTACCCTCCTGTTCATGTGCACCTGCTGGCTGCGTTCTAATTCACACCTGGGCCCTGTATGAGCTAGCCTTGCCCTGAGGGGCAGCTTAGTGAAGGGCTCCCTGAATTCCTGCCAGGTGAGGGTCTTTTTTCCATCTTGTTGAAATCCATTAGCACTATTTATTTGTATTATTATTATGTGCC